AGAGAGGACCCCTTGATTCCAGGAGTTTGAAGCTGCAGTGAACCATCATCATGTCACTGCACTCCAGCCCAGGCAGCAAAGTGAAACTGTCTCAAAAAACAAACAGGCTGGGGGGCAGTGGCTCACACCTGTCATCCCAGCACTTTGGGAGGCAGGAGGATTGCTTGAGGCCAGGAGCTTGAGACTAGCCTGGGGAACATAGCAAGAATTTATCTCCACAAAAAAATTTTAAAAATTAGATGGGTGTGGGGGCGTGCACCTGTAGTCCCAGCTACTTGGGAGACCAAGGCAGGAAGATAACTGGAGCCCATAAGTTTGAGGCTATAGTGAGCCATGATAATCCCACTTTACTCTTGTGTAGGTGACAGAGTGAGGCTCCAATACAAAAAAACAAAACAAAAGAAAAAACAAACAAAAAAAACCTATCATTTCTTTAATTAGCATAATGGTGAGATTTAGATTTTAACCAGGCTTTAAATATATGTGTTTACATTATAATAAGGACCTGCGCTCCCCATCAGGGAACATTGAGTGATATGTTTTCTCCTTACTTCATTTTATTTTATTTTATTTTTTTGTTTTTTGGATTGGAGTCTCACTCCGTCACCCAGGCTGGAGGGCAGTGGCACATTCCCGCCACCACAGCGTTGACCTACTGGGCTCTGGCGATCCTTCTGCCTCAGCCTTCCAAGTGGCTGGAACTACAGGTGCGTGCTACCACGCCTGGCTAATTTTTTAAAAAATTTATTGTAAAGAAAAGATCTCGCCAAGTTGCTCGGGCTGGTCTCAAACCTGCAAGCTCAGGTAATTTACTCATCTCAGCCTCCCAAGTCGCGGGATTACAGGCTGAGCCATTGAGCCCGGCTAGTAGGCTTCTTTATAAGCTTGTAACAAATTAACATCTAGCTGCTCGTGATTATAGTTCTACATATTTGATACTGGCTTTTGCCCAAAGATCCCACTGGGACAGCTTGTGAGAGATGGGAGACGTAGCAGCAAGGATCACCCAGACCTCATTTCATAGAGGGTCCCCATCCACCTGGTCGGACAGGTCCCAAGTCACATAGCCAGTCAGGGACATGCTAGACTGTAACTTGGGTCTGTGTCTCATTTCTGGAAGCAATTTTCCCTTCTCACAGGTCAGGACATTTAGACAGAGAGGACGTAGTTTCCATAAGATTCCTCTGCTTGGCGAGAGCAGGTAAGAACGAGCTCAAAGCTTTGGAGCTTCTGGCCATGGTCACTTTGTAAAAAATCCAAGCTGGCTTCCTCCCCACGCTGTCAAGTTTCATACCTTGCATACCAATACATATCAGGAAAGCGAAACCCAAGCTTGGCTCTTCACTTTCATTGATTCCAGAGTCTAATCCTGTATCCCCATCAAGGGGGCTGCCCTGAGCCAGTCAGCGCCAGAAGGACACATGAGGATGACTTCCTTCCCGCCCCCTCCTCAAATGTTATCAGCAAAGAGGTTCTTGCACTGCCACCATCTGGCCTTTGTGGGTGTCCCAGACAAGTGTGTGCCAGGAGGAAAGAAAACAGCACAAATTGTCTCCTTTTCCATTCTCTTAAAATAAGCTTGGTGTGAGCAGGCGTTCAGAGCAGCAAGAGTGCGGCTGCGAAAAACAGTGCGGTGCAGCTGCACCCTTTAGAACTTTGGGGGAAAACACATATTATTTGCCAGACAATAATAGATAGCAGAGAATAATAATGATCATTATGGTGTTTGGGATGGCAAATGCTGTAGTTAAGGTTCCAGAATGGCTCTCATTATAATCCCATTTGCCCCAGTCTCTTGTGAAAGCCTGGACGTTTTCTTCAAGTAGGCTGATGCTGTCCATGCTTGGTCTTTGTCCAAAGGTGATTTGAATAGAAAGAAACTTATCTGAGAAATATTCCTCTTTGGGGGAGTAGCGGCTACATTAAAGAAAAAAAAGCTACGTCATGGAAAAAACAGTTGCAGCATTCTTTTTTTTTTTTTTTGAGTTGGAGTCTCACTCTGTCGCCCAGGCTGGAGTGCAGTGGCCGCTCCCGGCCACCGCAGCCTCGACCTGCTGGGCTCCGGTGATCATTCCACCTCAGCTTTCCGAGTAGCTGGAACTACAGGCGCACACTACCACGCCCAGCTAATTTTTTGATTTATGAGAGATGAGGTCTTGCCAAGTTGCCCAGGCGGTTCTCGAACCTGCGGGCTCAGGCAAGCCACTCACCTCAGCCTCCAAGGCGTGGGATTACAGGCTCAGCCACCGAGCCCGGTTTAGTTGCAGCATTCTTAAGGAAGCAGTTCAAAATGGTAGCATTTCCCAGTTACTGGAAGAAAGTATTAAGCACTCTCCCTCCCACTTTTAAAGAAAGAATTCGGAGGCCCCCTCTCAGTATAACATTCGGTCACTCTTGGTCCCAGGTCCAGAGGTGGGGATGGTTCCCTCCCTCCACAGCAGCTCCCAGGCTGTGCTCACTAAATGCAAAAGAACTGTCTCCAGATGAAACGACCCATGTGTCCTCAGATCCATTTGTCACTTCTCCTTCTCAGTCTCTTGTGGCCTCACATTTGGTGGTGGCTCTTGGTGTTTTTGTTTTTGTATCCCTTTTCTCCATTTATCTCTTATTCTCAAGGAAAGAAGGGAGGGAGGGAGGGGAAGGAAGGAAGGAAGAAGAGGGAGGGAGGGAAAAGAAAATAGAAAAGGAAGGAAAGAAAAAAGATAGAAATAGAAAGAAAAGAAAGAAGTGAGCTCTTTATTCAGAAATAAATCTCCGTATTTCCAGTTCTGACCATGCCAAATGAAAAGGTTTCCATGGCCTTGTAATTCCACCCCCATTGCATATTTGTGGTGTTTTGCATTTTCACTTTGGTTATTTAATATACATATTAAATACACACAGATCTGGTGATTTAATGTGATTTGGGGAACTCAGGCATTTCCTGTCGTGCACATTGAGATTCTCAAGCCTTGTTTCTGGCTGATGATTATTATCTTTGCCATTAACACCAAGCCAAGGAGAGCAGGGTTCAAAGCACAGGCTTCTACTACGTCCTCCCAGTGGGCTTTCTGACCTCCTCTCACTCTTGCTAAATTCATGTTACAAACACTCGGAGCAAGTTTCCAGGGCTCTTTGTGACCTTCATTTCTCCATCTATAAAATGAAGAAATCGTATTCTCTTATCTCTGAGGTCCCTTCAAATCCTAAATTCTATCACTTCTCTGAAAGTATTTGTTCATTGTTCTAAGAATAATCTCAACAGTTGTAGAGATGCTTACAAGTCCCCTGTCACCACCTCACCTTAGCCAGATTTTGCACATTCACATTTCTGACATCTCCATTTATTGGTCGGAAAAAAAGGCACTGTTTTGTGGCATGTGAGCATTTGGACTCGTTCATTTGACGAAAGTGTGTTGAGCGCCTACAAGGGGTCAGACTCAGAACTAGGGGTGGCTGAAGAGATGATAGCAACACAGATGCAGCTCCAGACCTCAGGAACTTACCAGCTTGGTGGGCAGGTTTCTGAGTGACTGCTTCCCAGGAGTGACCGAGTGTCTTTGGTAGGCTGTATTTTTTTTTTTTTTTTTGAGTTGGAGTCTCACTGTCGCCCAGACTGGAGTGAAGTGGCCGCTCCTGGCCACCGCAGCCTCGACCCACCGGGCTCCGGCGATCCTTCCGCCTCAGCCTTCCAAGTAGCTGGAATTAAAGGCATGTGCTACCACGTCTGGCTGATTTTTTTTGGATTTATTATAGAGATGAGGTCTCGCTGCCCAGGCGGGTCTCGAACCCGCGGGCTCAGGCAATCCACTCACCTCAGCCTCCCAAAGGCACAGGATTACAGGCTGAGCCACCGAGCCCGGCTGGTAGGCTGTATTTTAAACCAAGGGACTGGTAGCAAATGAAATAAGCCAGTAGAGATAGAGACACAGAGCCTAATGTCTTGGTGAATGTGGGTTGAGCGCACCCCAGAAACTGACTTTCCTGGGGAAAAATCCTACTCAGACCCTCCGCCCTGGGATCCCAAAGCGTGGTGGGTTTATTGTCTTCTAGTCCCATGCTGCTATTTGTTTTGTGTGGGAAGAGAGGCGAGTGGCTCATCTTTGACAGGCACGATCCACAAACAGAGAGGAACGAGCATTTCTTCCTGTTCGGTTGCCTCCAGAGGAAGTTTCTGAAGAGCGGCAGACGCATGCACAGCCATTTTTTACTTGCCAAAAAGTGAATCTCGGCCGGGTGACCTTGTCTGGCTCTGGGGTGACCTTGGGCGACTCAAGAGCCCTCCTGCTGGTTAAGCATGCAGTCATGTGGAGGGAAAAATCGCTGGATTGCAAAGGATGCTGTGGTCTTTGGGTGAGGGTGTGGCGCACCGTGCTCATTATGGTATTCCAAAAAGCGACTCGAGTTTCATTTCCTCACACAAAGCTGGCAGGGCTGATCTGAGCAGACCGTGAATGAAACTCCGGTTGGAACCATGCTGGGCTGCCTTGGTCCTGGGGCTCATCTTAGGTCTGCACTGGCAGCGGGAGAGTGGACCGCTGTCTGACTCATGCCTGGGTGCTCCCCAGCTGGGCGGAGGGGGGATTTGGTCCAGTGGATTCTGACGGCCCCTTCTCCTCTTTTTCCAGGAACGCTCACTCACAGGGTACGCTCATGGAGAGGGCGCACAGCAAACCATGTCACGCCATCCAATGACACCAGCTGGTCAGCTCACCACCCCCTCTGGCTAAAACTCAAGCAAATAAAGCTGCTTCCTGTCATTAAGCATCTCAGAGGAAGCAGCCCTCCCTCAGTGGCCTCTAGCCCAGAGAAGCCAGCGCGTCTTGGACCCACCAAGCGGGCCCAGCCTTCCTGCTGCCACCATCTCTGCCTCTCCCAGAGGAACTTAGGGATTTCACCCCTGGTTTAAAAATAAATAAATAAATAAATAACAAAACACCAACAAACCACAAGGACCAATATAGGGATTCTGCCCGCCCTATCTTCAAGCAACTGAGGCTGGAAGATGATACGGATTGGAAAACAAAAATCTTTTTTAAATCTTTTAAAAAACTGCTGTGGTTTTGCTGCTACACTAAGAATTGTGATTTGCATTGTAAGGTTCTGGACCTAAACTGTTCCTGTTTTGACGGCGGAAAGGGAGGGTCCTGGAGGCCCAGCCCTGCGGATTCATCTCTGTCTTGCCCAGATGCACTTTTAAATGAAGAGTTAGAATATTTTATTGGCTAATATACTTTTCTTGTTATTTTTACAAAGGCCACCTTTATCCTTTTTGATGCCATATTTTCAGTGTTACACTTTTATGGCTTTTAATTTTCGATTTGACAGATGTAAGAAGCAGCACGAATAGTTTATACTGTGGTTTTTCAGAGACTGAATGCCAAGAGAACTCGGTAAATGTTTATTCTTCTCAGCTTTCTCTTTAAATTCCCCTAAATAGCGCCCCATTTGGGAACAGAGCAAGAGTGTTGAACTGAAGACCAAAATGCCCTCAAGGTGTAAAATAATCCGAGGGGGAATATTTGCTGGGCGTCACGAAAGACTTGGATGAAATTTCAACCCTGATGGTTTTCGGTGATCCAGGAAGTCAGTGAGACAATCTCTCCATACGCAGAGCCCTTTCATGATAATAAGAATGGTATGGACAGACCAATGAAAACAAGAGGGAAAGTGAGAAAGATCACCCATGATTCAGTTTCACTGCTTGCTTTCTCCTGTCTTAGTTGAGAGAAATGTGCAATTCGATCCTCAATCAGTGGGTGGAGGATAACAGGGTAGATTCACTTGTGTGCACTTGTACAGTTGTAGCTGCGAGTCCAGAAGTCCTCTAGAGCATGTGTACTGGGACTGAGTTGGTGAGAACGTTGTGGAGTGTCCCATTCTGATGAGTACAGAAAAAAAAAAGGAGAGAAAAAAATCAAAAAAAAAAAGAAGAAAACTAAAAAAAAAAAAAAAAAAGTCAAATCACCTTGTGATTCAGTGTATCTGTTTACTAACTCAAATAAAGCAATTGTTCCCTCTGGAGGGGTCCAGGCGCCCCCCCCCCCGCCCCCACCCCCCTACCGCCCGCCCCACAAGGCCACGGGGCTTCAGTAGGGGGTGGCAGGGTCACGCTGGCCAGGCCCCGGGCGGTGTCACACCGGCCTTGGAGCACCACAGGGCCCGAGGATGCGGTGTACATACTGTATTTCTATATTCTCCTTTGTACAGAGTCACTTAACAAGTCAAGCTACTGTTTTACAGGTGCTTCTTATTTATTAGAGCTGTGAGAGCTTGGGGTCACACCTGGCGAGCGAGCTCGCTTTTTAAAAATGAAATTTGGGGGCAGGGGAAGGGAGGCGGGAGGGTGGGGAAGCTCGCAAGCCGGGGGAGAGATTTATAAAAGTAAACAAAAGAAAAACTTCCAGCAACACGTTAAAAAAAAAACAACAATCGAATAAACCCCAGCACCAAGCCCCCCT